GCTGTTGGACTCTTGAACACTTCTTAACCTGTCCCCCCGCCCTTTATAAAGTCACTTTACTGCCCATCATACGTCACTTTACTTCACTGTACTGCTGTCACCTTACATTGTGTGCACCATGTGCACTTGTATATTGTAAATAGTTTCTGTAACTCTATTTTAAATTTTAATTTATTCCTTAGAAGTGTTTTTTATTCTTTATTTTTTATTATCTCTTTCTGACTGTTGCACTGAGCCAAAGCAATTTCCAAGTCTGTGACTTCCTGTTACTTACGTGGCAATAAAAATGATAAAAAACTGATTCTGATTCTGATTATGCCTTTAAGATATGTAGAAGCACAAATAACACATTTTTTTTAATTGTTATCATAGGCCTTTAGCAAAAGGTTGAGATGCAATTTGATGGTAAAAGTGGCTAAAACCAAGTGCTAGAAATACTTCAAGTAGAGCTTCAAGTAGATATAGTGACTCAAAAGTGATCCACCTTTAACCCTTTAATGGTTGAGGAAACCATTAAAGGGTTAAAGGGACGACTGCATGTGTGTGTGTGGGCTCTCTTGTGTTTACATCAGACTCACAATTTCTGCATGTGTGTCATAGTGAAAATGTGATCTTTACTGCTACATGTGTACATCCAGCTTGTAAATATTCGAGACAAGTGGGTCAGCAGGAAAAGAATCCAAATAGGCAGAAAAAGACTACAAGTGATGTAATTGGCTAATACACATGAACGGATACAGTAATTGCAGTGTTTTCGACATCAATTATTAAATATAAATTCGCAAGTATGTTTTTCATTAATCATTTATTCGGTCCGAGTCACACTGGCAGCACACATTTTGTTAGCATGGTGGAGTAAAGGGCCATCTTGTATTTCAACATTATACATTACACAATTTAATGGTACAAATAGGACAGCTGGCTGGCTCTGTGCTGCTCTGTCTTTCCCCCAGACGCCCCACCACCGCATCTGTCATATTTATGCTTCACATGGCCTTTTATTGATAGGCCTGGGAGGTAGTTGGATCTCAACACACACAGACGAACAAGACTACAGCTGTAAATATGCCCCTTGTCAATATCTGTCCACGAGCTCACAACCCACCCCATTTTTCTGCTGACACCACAGTTTGGGAATCAGTGTTTGACTTTTGCTGAGATAAAGGATTTGGGGCCAGTTAAATCTTCTCATCGTCTATTACTCGTGCCGGCTGCCATATACGCCAGAGTGCTTCAAAAGTAATGGTATATGAGGAGAAAGAGGGGAGCAGGGAGGTGATGCTATTCTCACCCAGTGCTACCTCTGTGTCGCCAGATGGACTTCACGGAGGCTGAGTGCATGCACTTGAGAAGAAAGACGGCGAAAACTGGGCCACTGCTCTGGGACGGACACAAATAGGACAAGAAGGATGGAAACTTGTGAGGAAAAATACTGCAGTTGCTCTACATCTGAGGCAATGTGGCAGAGAAGTTTGGGTGTAAAGGACTAGTTAACGTTGCATATTAATCAAAATCCAAGTTACTGTTGTTGTCTCTAAAACAGTTTGTATACTATCGTTGTTTTTTTTCATGCATACTGTCAAGTCTTTAGATCAGCTTTTTCTGACAAAAAAGTGATTGAGGACCACCTTCACTCAGCCAATAAGCTCTCAGCCAAAGAATCAAATTGTGACTTACAATATGTTTTCTAATAAGATAAAGACAGCCTGTTGTGGTCTGAATTGTTCACAACATTCATAACTCTATATACTGCGACAAACAATATGTATTATTTGTGAAAGAAACAAAATAGGTACCCCAGCTTTAAATGTTTTTTTCTTTGGATGTTTGAAAAAGGTTTTGTGTGTTGATAATTATCATCATAAGGTGAAGACTCCTGCACATGAAAATGAAGCTGAAGCGCAAATTCAGACTGAAAGAGAGCCACAGCTCTCACCCGTCCAGGGCGTGCCAATCACACAGCTCTGCCAGCCTCGAGCCTCTACCAATCACACAGCCCGGCCAGCCCCATGACAACCCACTGACAGCAAAGCGGGCAGTTTAAAATCAGCCACTTCCTGATAATCAGCGCTTCCTGAGGCTCTTAACACCCACTGCTTCCCCAGCACCTCCTCAAGCTCCTGGTTCCTGCTCTGGCTCCTGCTGTGGCTCCTGCTCTGGCTCCTGCTCTGGCTCCTGCTCTGGCTCCTGCACTGGCTCCAAGTCTGCCTGTGCCCCATTCACACTATACTTCTGGCCACCACCAGTGCTTGACCCCGGGGGGTCTGAGAATATCTGCAGCAGCAGACGATCTCCCCTCTGCAAGTGTCACTGCCGGGGTCAATGCAGCAAACAAATTAATCTTTTTCATGCATTAATGTTTCTGTCTTGGTCTCTTCAGATTGAAATGTATCCAAAAGAAAAAACTGTTCTTGAAATCCAGATATTTCAGCTTTCATCTTAATTTATTTGGTAGATCACTTTTTGAGTCACAATCAACTCAATTTGGTAAAGGCCTGTAATTAACATAATAAGGGTTAAAAAAACATACAAACAAATGTTTTGTAATATTAGTGTCCTACATCTTAGAAAATCCAAAAACGAGAGAAATACATTGTTTTTTTTCAAGGAGTGAATGTTAAAAGGGTTAAAGCCCTATTGTAATAAATGTGATGGAATGGAGATCTTAAATACTCTGACCAACAGCTAGTTCTGCTCAAGGGGAAGCCCCAATACTTAACCTTGTATTGGGGCTGATGGTTTGGTTGTTGATGGTCTATGTGTACCTGCTAACTTGCCTCCGCTAAATACTTGAATGACAATAAAATGTAAACAATCTTCAAAAGATCGCCTAAATTGTGTAGTTTTTACCAAACCCACTTGAACTGTCAGGAATTAAAAAAAACACATCTTGATTTTCTCCTTTGAACGTCACATTGAGAACAGTTCAAACCGTATTTCAGGTCAGTGCAATCAAACACGTGCCACCAGTGACATATTAACGCTAACTTTCCCGGAATATATAAAGACACATTACTTTGACAGCGACCTTGTCTGACGAGGCTTCAGTATCAAAAGCCTCTCTTACGGTGTGTAGTCAGCAGTCTTCTCCAAATGTCACTTATCCCATCCACAAAAGTAATACAAATGTTTTCTGCCTCACTAACACTTTCTCTCTCTCATATTGTGCGAGCGCTTAACTAGATTTACCCTGCAGCACAGTGCTCCTGCTGTCCACACGCACACGCCACTCTCTCTGTTCTACCGAGGCATCCGAGTCAAACACGGAAGTAGAATTGAAAACAAAAGCAGAAGAAAAGGGCTGTTACTATTGAAAAGAATATTTTATGTGTAGAATGAAAGCTGGGGTGTCTAACTTTATTGTTTAGTATTGTTTTAGTAAATGTAAAGTGGGGAATTTACTGTAAATATTCTTACTGTGGGACAAATAGCAGTTCTCTCATGTTATATACATTTGTGGAGTCGTGAAAAATGTTCCCTACATCAATCTGTCACCGTCTTATTAGTAAATCTGTGATCTTTTGTTAATGAGGGGAAATGAAGGAAGGACCCAAAATGACAGCATGCAAAAATAATAATGATTTAATGATGAAAAGTAAAAGTCCAAGGTAAAAACAACTAAAAAATCAAAATGAAACGCAGAAACATGGACATGGACACACAAAGACAATGGACCAGCAACAAGGGGAGAGGAGCACAGGGTAAATATATAGAGACGCATATACAGGCACATATACTGTAGAGGCACATACTTTATACAGGCACATACTGTATACAGGCATTTATACAGGCATATATAGAGACACAGGTGAAACAAATGAGGGCTGGACAGGACAGGAAGTGCAACTAAAAATGAAACCACACAACTAATATCAAAATAAAACCTAACTTCAAAATCACACCATCACATCTTTGGCATTTTGTGAGTCACTATTTGACGTTTTGCGCTAATAACCTGTTTTTTGTCTGAAAAAACTGATCCAAAGATGTGACAGAGACCAAATATACATTAATGTGAAAATTAGTGATAGAGCCAGAAACGTGTGGACTTTAAAAAAAAAAAATTCTAAAGTTTGTATTTGCAAAAGTAGGTATCTGTATGTGTATGGCCTTCCAAATATTTTTCTAATGGTACTTATCTATTGTTTATTGAAAAATTAGCTGTTTGTCTGCTGAAGAGTTAGGACTGAGGTGGACACAATGAATGCCACACTTTGTAACATTCTGCATTACAGCAAAAACAAAAAAGGTTTGGACGTAAAATAAGAAAACATTTTGAAGTCTATAGAAATCATGAATGCAAAAGTTTGAAATTAATCAATAAATATGCAATTATATTCTGTATGTATAGATATATGAAATGTGTTTTTTGCGCCTGCTCTAGTCGTGATTCGCAGTCCACAGGGGATGAAAATTATTCTCTTTTTCTGTAAACCAAAACTTTTAATGAAATATTTAAGGCAGTTTATGACCAGGTGAGTTACACACACTGATAAACACAGTAAAGACAACAGGTGACAAATTCAATTTGTATTTTTTGTGATTGATTGTGACATATTAAACAGACAAAAATAAATCATACAGTTTTTTTGCATTTACAGACATCGTGTGGTGTCAAGGATTATGCTACAGGTCTACAGTATATTTCATAAATAATAACTAGCCATCTTTAGAAAATAACCACCAGCTTTTTGCACATTCGTCCATGGACTTGCAGAAAATGGTGGTCAACATGGAGACTCTGCTTGTTGTTTGCACTGATATTATGGTTTTTATAATAAATGTAATCTGTATAAGCGGTTTTTGTCATTGCATAACAACAATAAAGAGACAAAAAGTTTTTAACAGTCAGCTCAATGTCCAAGGCAAGTTACCTCCACTTGTTTACTGGCTGCTTCCACATACACTCCAATAGAAAATGAGTGTATGCGTTGTAAGCAGTTTATATTCATCTATAGTTTTAACAGAAGATATCCTTAAATGCTGCGACCCACAAACTCCTAGAAATCTCCATACCTGTAAAGAGAGAGATAGACATGATTATAACAAAACCACTTTTTTGCGCGTTGCTCAGAGATGGGGATCTTTGCTCGTGACTCACTCCATGTCGTCGGCTGAAGGCCTGTTCCAGCTCTGAAACAGCGGCTGCATGAAGAGGCCCAGGGTCCCCACCACGCACACCAAGATGAAGATCCACAAGAACATGCGGTCGATCACCATGGCCACGTACTTCCAGTCCTGGATGATCTGTAATGAGAGTCGTGACCAAGAATGAGCTGATGGAGAAGAGGCCAAAGAAGTTGTAAATCTAACTAGACTCAAACTATTCAGAGAGAAAGGAATTAGTTTTTTTGTCTGTCACATCTTTAGGTCAGCTTTTTCAGAGAGAAATGTAAAAAAAAAAAAAAAAAAAGAGAGGGAGTACCACCCTCACTCAGCTAATTAGCCCCGTGTCAAACCGTGACTCGCAGGGCTCTTTCTAGTAGAGTAAAGATCATTTGTTTTCTAATCGGATGAAGGCAGCGTGTTGTAGACTGTTTTTCACCGCATTTTCATTTTATAAGACTTTCTGCTGGGATGAACAAAATGTCTGAATATTCTTGTAACAAAAAGGTAATATACCTCAGATTTAAGTTGGCGGAATGGGAAAAGTGATTAAAACAAAATAAATAATGGCTTTTGTATGTATATAAAATAATACTACTGTTACAAAACATGAGCTGAAACAATTACACTAATTATGATTGGATCTTAAACAGCTACATTTACCACTTGCAGTGCACACACAGCAAGCTCCCTATAGGCAGATCAGTAAGTATTCAATTCTAGTTTAGAGAAATGGTTTATTTACAGCCTTAAATCCTACATATTAGACACTAAAGTCCTGTTTTAGAACATATTTAGAACACATTTAGACATGTTGGTACTGGGGAGGCCAAATATTGAGCTATAGGAGGAAAAAGTTTCTTGCTTGATGTGATAATAGAAGTTACTTTGATCAACTATTTATAATTCATGTCCATGGATATTATGAGAGGGATATACAACATATACTGTATAGTTTTATACTGTTCCCCCTTACACCATGTCAGAATCTCTGCTGTACCTGAACATGCACAATGAATAAATAATAGCTATTGGCGTTATACCATCGCATCTGGTTTTGTGAAAAAATGTACTTTTCATGAAGCAACAGTGATTATTGTTACATGTGCTGCTGCTGTGTGGACCTCGAATACACATTGGTTTGTTTGTATTCGGCCTGACACTTTGAATCTGCCATGAGCCCATACAGCACCGTCCTTTGTTTGTAACATTTATTAAACTGGGGATGATTCCAGAAGCCGAGGAGCTTTGAGCTAGTATTCTGAGGGCTGGGTTGATAGTGAAAATGCATTGTTTTTTTTCTTGAGATGCATTGTGGGTGGGTAAAGGGGAAGAGGCCAAGGGAGGCAAGATGTGACGCTCACGGGCAGTTTTAGGCCTTGACTTTTTGTCTATTCTACATTAACTATATATAAATCTCTGGTGCCTTGATAGCAACAAACTACTTCAAGTCTAACATTATTTGAAAGAGTCTTGTAAAAGTAAAATGTTGTGAATAAATTACACCACATCATTGTGTTTTTATTGTATTTGAAAACATTGTATTCTGTAAGAAGAAAGAGAGAGCTCACTTTTTGACACTTTGGGCTGAGAGAGGATTGGCCTCTCTTCTCACTTTTCTGTTTTAAAATTTGATTTAAGATGGATGCTTGCGAAGAAAACTGTTTTGAGAGCAAGTGGATGTGCTGATATACAAGGTTTTCAGGTTCAGGTTTTGGAATCTTGGTACTCCAGCTTTAAATTGGTAATCTTTTATTTATTTATACACTTTGAGTCTCTTAACAAAGATTTGCTAATTAAACAAAAGCGTTTTCACAATTCGGGCGTTCTGCTCTCCCAAAATTCCATCCACTGAGCGGCGCTGTGATCAAAAAATGACACCGTTTGTTGCCCAGTTCACTTCCGGTTGATTTCATACAATGGCGAATATGGCTCACGAAAACAACAAGCGATTGACAGTGCCTGAATTGCGTGAAAGGTTGAAGCGAAAGGGTATTTGCAGTGTGGGAAAACGAAAGGAGGAATTGTTGTTGCTAGTTCAACGAGCGGATGGTGTTTATGAAGATTTAGAAGAAGATGACAGCGAGCAGAGTGAACGAAAACGGCTGTGTGTGCGAGTGACAGATGGTAACAATGAGAATGAAGTTCAGCTAAGAGGGAAGAATGTGAATTGGACGGATGATTTGCGCGATATGCCACTAGTTAGAGACGGGAATGTATTTGCATACAGAAAATGACGAAAACACTCAACCATTTAGAGAAAATGCGCCGGGCAGAGAGAACCGGAAGTTGCGAAGGCAAGTGTTACCCATAATGCAACGCAAAATTCAGTCGCTCCCCCGCCCATCGGATGGAATTTTGGGAGAGCAGAACGCCCGAATTTAAATGATGTAATGGAAATAGGACTAACCCCAATTGGTTCCTTTGACAAATCATAGAGAAATAAAGATTTAGTTCAAATAATATTAGGCAAAGTTTAGGAGATAAAGAAACAGAAATGAGACATGAGCTGAATCAAGGACACAAACTTTTCCTTACATATTTCTTTTTTATATTAAGGGTAATTTTTTTTAGTAGACGTCTATCTCTTATAAAGTTACTGGGCTCCACCTTTTGTCTATTTCACTTTAAATTTCTGAACAAAATGTTTAAGATTTTCCCAACTACCCAACTTGATAACTTCACATTGCAAATAAAACATGACGACTTGGCTGCTCTGACTGCCACCCCCCAGACCGAGAAATGGATTTAGGGGAAGATGTATGGATGGATGGACTTGGCTGATTTCCACTGCGGAGGTCTCACCCCTTCGTCGTCCTCTTCGGTCTTCATGTGTTCCGCGATGTACTTGACCCCCTCCACAGCCTCCTCTATGGCGGGGTCCAGCGGGTGACCCAGGGCCCGGACGTCCGAGAAGCCGCCCCCTCCTTCGGGCAGCTCGGTCCCCTTCCAGCAGAACTCCTGGGCGTAGAATTCCCCTCCCAGTCTCATGCTGGAGAGCTGGGAGTTGAGCGTGGTGCTGCTGTGGACGGGGAACTTGGCCTTGAGTTTGTCCCGGTTGTTGGATCGCGGGCGGGTCATGAAGAGGAAGTAGGGAAGGCGGACCAAGAAGATGCGTTTGACCCAGTCGGGCATGTAGTGTGTCGAGGGCGACCGGTGGTGGACGTTCAGGACGCAGGCGCAGGACACGGTGGAGAACGTGACCAGGACCATAGTGAACATCAAGTATTTACCTGAGGGAACAACAGAGCTCATCAGACATAGTGGAGCTCTTTCTGTGGGAATTAAATCTGGGGTGCATAACTTTAAAACCCCTGAAAATACAACTATGTGATTAAACACCAAGTTCCTCGTTCTCAAAACAGTTGGGTTCTATCGCTATTTTTCAGTGTTTTTATTTTTGGCCTCTGTGATATCTACGTCATGCATACTATATCAACTTTTTCAGAGAGAAAAGTGAGAAGGGCTCTGTCTCACTGATTTGTACAGATTTTAATTTCACAAGACTCTTTTTTGTTGGGACAAACAGTGTGTGTTATTTATGAAATAGTGAGTCAGCTTATTTTTGGTGTGGCATTATATTTGATGATGATATCGCCAAACATCCATATAATTAACTAGTCCAAAGCTCAAAAGACTGATTAACGCTGGGATACCTGACTTTTTTGTTTCATGAATAATACAAGTTGTTGGTACTAACAGAAAGAGCCTTGTAAGAAAGAAATCCCTGTGAGTCACTATTTGATGCTTTGGCCTGATTGGTCCATAGCATGGGGCGGTCCTCTCTTTGTCACTTTTCTGCCTGCAAAATCTCATCTTAAGCTAGGAAAAAGAAGTTTATGGATTGAACGTTAAGTATCACAGCTTTTCCTCATATAAGTAAAAGAATAAAGTATCAAATAAAGTATACAAATTTGTTTCTTGTAAACTGTACGACATTTCTGAATCACCTCTTCTCCCTATATGTCTACATTTTTAGAACTCTGCTGCACTTCCTGGACTTTTCAATGAAATCCTTTCATATAATTCGACCAATAAATGAAAGAATGTCTGATAAAGTAGGTAAAGTAGTAATTTATCATATCTAAAGACCAATGAAGTGCCCCTGTTTGATTGATCTTACTCTGGGAATATTGTGGGAAATGATATCAAGCATGTCAGGTAAACTGGTGAGAGCAGATTGCCAATACCGATTGAATTGAAAAAATACATATTATTAACTTTTGACAGATCCTTATACGTATGAGCATTGAATAATTTATGAAGACACCGTCCGTCTGCCTGTTACTCAAAGTAGATATAGTCTGGAGCAGTCTTACTGAAGATGTGAGACAGGCTTCTGTCATGGTTGCCATTTTTTAGTACCTCGTATTTTGTATTATGTTTTCTACTGTGTTTTTTTTAGTTTTGCTGTTCTGTTGATTGTCCTTATGTGTTACGCCTGTGTCTCCCAGTTAAATTCCTTGTGCCCTTTCCCTCTTGTTGTCAGTTCATTAAGTGTTTGTTCTCTGGTCCTTGTCTTTGTCCTCAGTTCCTGTGTTCTACATTCAGTCAATTTTTGTTCATTAGATTATATTATTTTTGCAGCATTGTATTTTATCCTCCTTTTTGATACGTAACAGGCTTCTACTCTGACAAAGTTCAAATCCAGCTTAAAAACAGTTTTTCTGCACATACAACTGAAGGATTGTGTTGTCACTCGTTTTAATGTACTGTGATTATTTTATTTATTTATTTATGTATGTATTTATTATTTGAATGCCTTGCGTGATTTTAAAGTGTCGATTCTCGTTTTGTTAAGCACTCCGAGTTGCCTTGTGTATCAACTGTGCTACACAAAAAGACTTGCCTTGCCTATAGACATCCCACAGACTAAATGCTCCAACTCAGTGCCACTTCCAACTGTGAAACCCATCCTAGTCATCTTACAAAACTAAAAATATCTAAACGAATACATTATCTCGCACACGTACGATTCCTAACAAAGAGCAGTCGCGTACATAAAAGCAGATGTTATTTTCAACACCTGCCACATCAACTGCCAAACTTTTCTGTCGGATTTATGTTGAGTGTGAATGATTTGGATGTTTCTTTAGAAGTGGATGACAGACCTATGAGGGGCACTGCCACCGAGGTGGGCGGCACGATCTTTGATATTAGCAGCAGGAACACAGTGAGAGCCAGCAGAACAGAGATACACAGCGTCATCTTCTCCCTGCAGTCTGACGGCAGGTAGAAAACCAAAATGGCCAGAGACGTGATCAGAATACAGGGAATGATCATGTTGATGGTGTAAAAAAGTGGCTTCCTCTGAATGATGAAGTCGTAGGTGATGTCCAGGTACGTCTCGTCGTTGGGGTCTTCGTTCTTGCGGGCGGGCAGCGACACGATGTCCCACTCCCCGCTGGGGGTGAAGTCGTCCCTGCTGGCGTAGTCGCTGGTTAGGACCACGTCGATCTCCGTGTGGTCGTAGGTCCACGAGCGGAACTTCAGGGTGCAGTTTTGCTGGTCGAAGGGGAAGTACTGCACCTCGATGGGACACGCCGACTTGTAGATGGCCGGGGGCAGCCAGAAGATGTCCCCCGAGTTGGAGACCACAGCGTTGCAGTAAAAGGAGACTTCGTACACGCCGTCCGCACTGGGGAATGGAGGCGAGAGACATTTAGTCGTCAGTGAAAAACGGTCCTAATACAGCTCAATGGTGGATTTTAGACAGATAGATAAATAAATAGATATAGATAGATAGATAGATAGATAGATGGATAGACAAACCATGTGGCCCGACATGCCTGCATGTTTTACATACATCAAGATGCGTCTGTAAATAGGCTGTTTATGATGTGTGTTGTGTGTGAGATTGTTAATGGACGTAATAAATTGCAGTTCTGTGGTTTGAAGTGTTTGAAAATGGCTCATGTATTTTTGTGCACGTCGTGGTTCTAGCCATGGCCCTCAGTGCTTTTAACCCAACATAAAAACTCCTCAAATCTATTTTTTACTGCTGTACTACTGTAGCGACAGAAGCGAGGCAACCAGTATGTGCCCTCGGCCCAGCCAATTTCCATCTACCTATCACGCACGCATGAGACTCATTCAGGCAATGTGAGTGACATGTCTTGTCTAAGGACACAAGAACAGTTTGGTAGTTTACAGCCGCAGCCGCCCCTCTGGCATCTGGTTCCTAGAGGTCCCCCATCAGTAGGCCCTGCCCTGCTTTGCTTCAGAGGTCTGACAGGATTTGGCTTTCACATGCAGGTGGGGCCACAATCTCTGTTTTGAAAATTACTCACGTTAAATACTCTGTTGTAAACAGCCCCTGAGTCTGGTGATAAAGTCTGGATATATGATTCAGGTGATGCATCAAGATGTTTCAGATTGAAACAACATTGTTGTTTCAATCTGAAGTATCCTACATCCTGCCCTTAAGGCAGTGCTACTATGACAATGATAATGTACATTCATGAAATCATAAATAATAGTCAGGCTTTTTTTCTCAAGAGCAAAGTATAGGTATTATGAATTATGTAAAAAGGCAGAGGCCAATAGCGTGAGTGCATTAGTATTGTACAGCAGGCCTGATCTATCATCTGTGATTGCCTTTACTGTATGTTTTGGCTCTCCTACCTCCTTCCAGCTAAAAGATTTCATTGTGGATGTAACTTAGGGATACTCACTTGTTGTACAGCACAATATCCGGGAGCCAGATGAGTTTGGATGGTATCCGCAGCTTCTTGATGCCGCCATATTTTTCTGGGTCCCACCTGAGCCTGTAGTCGTTCCACTCCTGCATTTAAAAAGTAGCACAAAGAGAAAATGCATGAGTAAGAGTTTTCACAGCTGAGAAAGGTCATCAGAACAAAATCAGCACAAAACTGCACCTGGAAGAGCCACACGTTGGTCGTCATTATCTGTTCTCTTTCGTTCTGAAAATAGAGAGATTGGTATAATATAGAGATAATATAGAGCATACAGAAATGTCATAACATAGAGCGTAAAGAAAGAAGAAATGTCACACAAAAGCCTGTCTGCAGAGTTAAAATGGACCTTTCACCAGGTTCTACTTCAATATCCAAACTATATTTGTTAACCCTGTGGTGGATGGCTATAAAACCAATCATTCATTTCCCTAATTGTGTGGCTTGCTTACTACAATGAATGAAAAGAGGTGCCCATGGCTGCATTAGAGTCATTAATCTAACAGCTACATAATTCTGGCAGCTCGAAAAGAGAGTCTTGGTATAATGAAAATCTGTGGACATTAGATTTGTCTTTTTCCTGATTATGTTCATTTAAAGAGAAAAGATAGTAGTCAGAAGCAACCTATTTTTTGAGATTTACAAATTTGTGGCTCAATAAAGCAAATCTATTTCAAAATCAACTAAATTATGGTTTATTCGGATAACATTGTTTTTTTCTTTGTAAGTTGTGTTTTTTTCAGCCCGCAGAAGGCGCTCCCACTTTGTTTAAGGTTTGATGTTTGCAATGAACAAAGCATGTTACATAAAAGTGACTCACCTTGCATCCAAAATGTTGATGTCAGTCGAGTTTTTAAACCAGTAATAGACAAAATCTTTTAAAATTTGTTTTTGGGGGGGGGAGGGTTTGCCAGTAACCATCATTTCTTTCATTGCATTATGCTTTGCCAGTTTCCTGATACCCAGTGCCTCAGGTTCCCAGAGGACAATAACCGAGTTGCTGCATGCCCAAATATGGATTTCCGGGTGCACCCACTCAGTCAGGGTTTGGACAGTGTGGTGGGAGGGAATGAGAAACCTGTGATGTTTAAATGACAACTTTCACCAGATTAATTTTTGTTCATGTCAATAAACAAACTGGTTCGACGGCTACCAAACTGTTTTTAATGACCGTTTTGTTTGGGCACCTTTGGTTTCGTGTCTTATCTTTTTCGTCCAGGTATTTTTGGGTTTTATATTTTTTGTAAGATTGTTTTTGTAAGTATATTTTATAGATTACATTTTTGATAATGTTTTGAAAAACCTTTGTAACTTATTTTCTATAGTTTGCAGCTCGGGCCAGGAGTTTAAGAAGCGCTGTCCTGGTGCACTCTGCACACTCCCTCCTGGTCCCGTTTGCGGCCTCCTCAGACGCCGCATGGTTTGGTTCTTTTAGTCATTCTTTAGCATTTTTCCTGTACTTATTTTTGTTTGACCTGGTGGGTCTGGTGGATACATATTCATTGCTAAGGGTGTAGCTATTTGGGTTTGCTCTATTCTTTAGTTAGGGTGTCCTCATCGGATCCGGACGGACCTGTACAGGGTTGGTTCGATGTCGGCCCATTTGGTTTGTTTTGGCTGGCCCACCAGGTCCATCTTTAATTTGATTACTTTGGGTTTTTGTTCTAGACACGGTGTTGGGTTTTTTGGATTAATATTCACGAGTTCACGAAATATATAAATAAAAATCAATTTTTAACTCTCAACCTGTCTCTGTGTCCTCAAATATGTTTTGTCCTTTGGGTCATAACAATGATGATTACTAGGAAGCAGAAGAAGGATAAAGAATCTCACCTTATTTATCTATATGAGAAAGTTAATTAAGAAGTTACTAAGATTGTTGTTGCATAGATACAGATCATACATAAATAGACATATGCAATATACACATTCATAATCAAGTAATAATAGGCAGCACATTATTGTTATGTATTGTCGGAAGCATTAAATAAGAACATGAAAAAAAGAAAAAAAAGATGATGTTATACATTTTCTGCCCAGATATTGCCCGCTACACTACCCCCTCTCCAGAATTTATGAAACACCCTATACACCCCCTCCCCTGCCCCCAGGAGGTTATATATGACCCCATCCATTTACAATCCTAATAGCATTTGGATCGGCCCATCTGCACAGTGGACAAGACACAGCATTTTGAGAAACAGCCTTGGGGGGTTTGCTTAAGTTTATGTTGAAATTTGTGTCCCGTATAAATATTTCAGTCACATGTTTTTTTGGTTTTTTTGCATTACTTTCCACACAGCTCCTCCTTCTGCTGCTGTGTGATGTCATCCCTCAACTGTGCTTGTGCAAATTAGATTTATTTTCTTGTTTCCCTCAGGGAGTGTCAGCTTTATGCGTTTTATAGTTTATGCCTGATCTAATCCAATCGTTTACGCTGTTCTGTTCTTTGGGAACACCTGATCTTCTACATCTACAGCAAAGTTCGTCTGTACAGTTTCCCGAACAGAGCAGAGAGCTGCCAGTCGACATCGTATTGCTAAATCCATACAATGATAATTAGTATCTGTTGAAGTACTATTTCAATTCAAGGTTTTTATGTATAGCCCTAAATCACAAAAGCAGCAGTCGTCTGGGAGGATTTTACAAGGTAGTCGATACTAGGGGTGGGAACCTCAGGATACCTCATGATACGATACGATACGCGATACAAAGCTCACAATAACGATTATATCACGATATGACGATTATCGACAAATTGGTCAGAAATACACTGTTATAGAAATCTTTTAGTAAAGCAATCTGAATAAACACGAAATAGTTATAAGTGTAAGTTATTAACTAATTCTCAACTCTGGATTCAAATACAGCACATATAGTCTGTTGGCAGCAGGTCAGCTGATAGATGGAGATGTGTTTCTTTGGCAATATCTGGGTCATAAAACAAAATGTTCAGGTCAAAGCAGATTATTGCGAGTATCAGAGTTGTACTGTATCAGCGTTAGGAAGCATACAGAGGAGCCTTGAGCGACACGTATCAATACTGACTTTATTTGTGTAATATCTAGAGTAGATACGTGTTTGTGTGCTCTGGTCTATTTAATGTCCGTCATTTCCTCATTCGGGGCCGTCGGTTTCAGACGGCTGCCCGGTGGTATCGGTTCTATTATTCATTGCATGTGTCACATTTACTAATGAATAAACTCACACCTTGATGGTATTACAGCTCTTGGTTGTTTACATTATTTTTGCTCTCGGTCTGTGCAGAAATTCCACAACAATACCTATGATTATGTATGGCATAAATAAAAGAAAAATGTTAAATTAAAAAATACACTTTATTTCATGATAAATGGAATGGAGATGCATAATGTAGCCATATATTAAGTACTGAGACCAATTTAAAAAATATATTATTATTTTATATTTTTTAAATCGATGCTTGGCAAAAGCCTATCGATAACTGATTGCGTGAGAAAGTATCACGATACATCACCATCACACTCCGAGTCAATACGCCAACAACAGATCAGAAAATCAAACCGTTCGAACACAGGAAATTTAGGGTTAACACTAGAAATCTCAGAGCAGTCAATTTGACGCCTTTCAGTTTTGGAAGTGAAAGTAATGAATGAAGCCTTTTCTTAGTCCCAGAGTGGGGAAAAAACAGCTCACGTAAATGTTTGGTCTTCACAGACGTAGTGACTTTTCTGTTTCTTTATGATGTTTATTTATATGTCATTATTCTTATGTTCATATCTTTAATTTTTGGAATGGACTAAATCTCCCTTGAGCTACCTTGTCAAGAGCAAGAGCTAATACAGTAATTACCATAGCAACATAGTGTTAACTTGCTACCGGTTAGCGTTAGCCTTCCAACAAACTGTTTTTTTCTGTTTTTCAAGTTAAGTTTAGCACTTATTAAAAGTGAGTAAAGGCACATTTGAATAAAACCAATGTTATACTCACACATTTTTCAGAATTCCATTGATTTGTTGGATTTTTTTTAAATAGGTCAACGACAAACTGTTTACTCTCGATAATTTATTTATAAATCTATCACACTTCCAATCATTAATAAGTGTCATTAATCCACTGTTATGGCACATGTTCTAAAGTATATTGTCTCTGTTGGGGAAATTGGTCCAAAGCAATGTGTGTATGTAGCCAGATCATGAACAGCATTGTGGTATTTTATGACACGAGATGATAAAATGCTTCATGAACATGTACTGACCACGCTGATGAGCTGGGACAGAGACACCTGAATGGAGATGGTGACCTGTTGGCTCTTGTTCACCGCCGGTCGGATTAGTTTGTTGTAGCGCTCTGGACTCAGCAGATGGTTGACCAGCCGCTCCTCTGCGTTCTCTGCTCTGCTGCCTGCTCACACAAATCACACAGAATGGCTTATTGATGCCTTTTGTTGGCAGCTCCATCATGTTTCGTTTAATATGCACTGTGGTGGATACAGTTTGGGATTAAATGAAGGCCAGGAATAATGAAATATGAGCTAATGCAAATTTGACTACTTGTGGTCCATGGCAAATTCTGTTCATACAAACTTAACAAAAACAGTTTAAATCCAGCGCTGATCTGTAAATTGTTGGTTTGCCAGACACCTCATCCACATTTTGGGGGGTTTTGTCGAAGAAAATTAGCCCTAAATCTATCCGTCACAGAAGAGACTTAGCAACTTAAAGGTATAGATACTGCATGAAAACAAAAACATAAAGTGAATGGGCCTCATTCACGAACGGTTCTTAGGAACAGATTTGTACGTAAATCCTACTTACGCGGTTTTTACGAAGAAAGTGGCATTCACGAATATTTCTCGTAACCAGAATTTGTCTTGGGCAAGTACAAATCCTATGAGTCCTCAGGAGCACTCGTACGCATTCAGTGCCGACATGTTCACACGCCGGGGTTGTCCTCTTTGGTGAAGTTGAATAAAAATACAACATTCCAGTGATATGTCCGTCATATCGATGTATGTATTTATTTATTTGTAGTAATCTTTATTAGTAATCTTTATTTATATACCGCCTTTTTCACTGCAGATCTGGCCTACTTTTTAATTCATTTTGAAATGAAATGTGCCAACGCTTTATCAAATACATTGGAAATCTTGCCGTGTATTAGTGACCCCTTCCTATTTATAGGGGGCATTTCTTTATCCACGGGCCACAGAACAACGGCATATATACTGCTGCTGCAGGAGGTTACTGGGTCCGCGCTGAGTCTCTGCGCTGGTCTCTCCCATGGATCTATACGGGTCTGCGCTGGTGTCTCGGATCTATACGGGTCTGCACTGGTCTCTCCCATGGATCTATACGGGTCTGCGCTGGTGTCTCCCATGGATCTATACGGGTCTGCGCTGGTCTCTCCCATGGATCCATACGGGTCCGCGCTGGTCTCTCAAGTCTGGTCTATGCGGTCTCTCTTCGGTCCGCGCTGGTCTCTGCGCACCGGTCTCTCCAGTCAGGTGTCTCTATGCGGTCTCTCCTGTCCGCGCTGGTTTCTGTGTGCTGGTCACTCCAGTCTCTCCTCGGGTCTGCATTGGTCTCAGCGCTGGTCCGCGCTGGATCTCCTCCCAGGGTCCAAAATATTTTGAGATTAATCTCAAAACATTTTGAGATTCATCTTTAAAATAATACATAATATATTTTTAAATTAAGCTCATAACATTTTGAGATTAATCTCATCATATTCTTAGATTAATCTCATAATTTTGCTAGTTCGACTTTATAATCATAATATTTCGACTTTTAAGTCAACATTTTATAACTTTATTCTCAGTCTGGCAAAAGCCTGCTTTAGGCCTGTTGCTGTTTCCTCTGGCGTCTGCACACGGCCCTGCAGTCCCTTATATGGGCATTAGTGGGCGGTTACTTATGCTAAGTACCTATGGTAATGAAGCACCGGGCACGCGCGCTGTACTTACGAGGAAATGGGATTCATCAATCTGAGAGAACAGCTGCGAACAATTCAGCGTCTTACGAGTGCGTTGATGAATCCCACGTGGGGACTTCTTAGAAATCTACTTAAGGACAACTTGAGAAGAAAGTTGAGTAGTTTCTTACGAAGTTATTCGTGAATGAGGCCCAATGATAGTATCTGTTGAAAAGGGAGAGAGAATTTTCAAAATGCCATAATTGGTTGAAATTAATTGAAATCCTTCATCCTTTCTTCAAATTGGTTTTGAAAATCATGCCGGTGGTTACGCCAAACAGAGGTACAATATTTGTGCTTTCTTCAACAATACTTTTACTCCCCCGCAACTCGCCCCAAGATGTCTTCCCATTCAAATCATAAGGCATAAGGTCTCACCATGGAGACATAAATATTAATGGAACTGATGGATTTCGGCCACCTCTGGTCCTAACGGTCTTGCGAGGCGCCTGGGAGATCAGCGCTGACTGTAGAGGGCAGCACTGCACAATAAGTAGACAACAGCGGCCAACCTGCGCACCCCAAGCCCCGGCGATTCAAGATGGCGTCCTATTCAAATGAATGGTTGTGCTCAGTGGCGCTTTGTGACGGCATGGGGGCTGAAAGATTAGCGGAAGTCGCCTGGAACTCGCAAAGATCTATGGGAAACTCGCCTGTATTTGGGCATTGTCTGGTCCTCCCGGTTCTGCGCAGTGGATGATCTCCCATAATGCGTTGCGCCAAACACGCGTGTGTGGGTCTCACACCGGGTCTCACGCACGTGCACAGAGGGGCTCGGCCGCGCTCTGACCAATCAGAGAAGTTCATCAGAGCGGGAGTTAGAGCGAGAGCCAGAGGAGCAGAGTTTGTGGCACTAAAGTGTGGATTTAAACAAAACCGAAGGATTTAAGAAGAAAAAAAGTTCAGGATGACAAGGGACACTAAAATCCCCACAAAATCCTATCATTATGAAAGCTGTAGGTTCTCTGTCAGCTGAGGTCGAGCTGTTTTAATATGCATTGAGTCCTATGGGGAAAATTTCTGGGTAGCCCACGTGAATTTAGTCTGGTTCAGTCTGCAGTACCGCGAGAATCCCCTGAGCACATGAGTTATTCAGCTACAAGCTAGTAATACCCTATCCAGTTAATATAATACATCCATGGCGCACCCACAGATTAGAGCAGACGAGAGAAAACCGAGTTTGTCCCACAGACGTAGATTTATAGAAAACCAATGGATTTCAAAGATAAAGAGTTCAGGATAACAAGGGACACTAAAATCCCCACTATCCCCACCATCCATGCATAATATCATGTACAGACATGAAACTCCGCCCCTTCTGTCTCAAAGCTCCTGTCTCAGTCCTGTAATAGTATGATGTCAGTGTACCTCTATGACATCACACTCAAAAGTAGTCTCAATAAATGATATACATTATTTTCACCCGCAGCCTCTATACTTAAAAAAAAGAAAATCAACCCCTCTAATGCGCGGTAGCATAGGGAGTCACAGACCGAAAGCATGTTCTTCATACTTGTTTCACCCAATACTTTCTACAAAGATATAATTTCACATTCTAAAACACGAAATGACAGACTAAATATCATGTTAATGGGTGAAAATAATACATACACACCAGCTTGCACCCTCCCCCACAAAAATGTCTCAAACAAAGTGAAAAAAATCATATTTGCGTCCCCATTGAATGCCACCGTCTGCCATAACCACACACCAAAGCGTCTCTTGGCGTAAACCAAAACGAGCAAAGGTTGTGTTAGTTAATGCCAGAGGTAATTAAAGATAAAAGTCAGTCGCCCTGTGGAAGCATGTGTTCTTTTCCCCTGTTGTAGTTTAGAGCCTCATAATGAATGTGTATACTCCCAAATGATGAGCAATAAACAAGTTATCTGTGAGTAAACTACGCCATGAGGCATTCAAATGAGTGCTTTGTGCCGCTCGGTTTTAGCACAAAAGAACAAACTACATCGAGTCATGCGTCCGCCCCGATGTTCAGACCTCCATAACTTCATGTCTCTACTCAACCTGAAACTATGTCTTATGTAAAACTGATTAAATACATGAATAATTTTTGTAGAGTTGCAGGATGGCTCCCGGCCCTGGCTTTCAGCTCCCATTATGTCTTCATTGTCAGAGCAAGTGACAACAGCAACAAGGGGAAAGATAATATTTGGGGATATGCAGATCCACTTGATGACATAATCCAAGACTGGTCCGGAGACTTTACTGGATTTATATTTATTTAAATGAAATTATTAAAAGTTATTCAAAACTGGTCTGAAGATTAGCATTACCATCTGTGACTGCATCTGACTGTACTTCTTTATTATGCTAAAGTCAGGGTTTTTGTACTCATTATGTTAAAGATAGATAATTTATATGTCATCATGCTAGATTTAGAGATTTGTATTTTATTTTATTTAGTATAGTTATTGTTAATTTATCTTGTGCTGTGTGCTCCTCATTCCTACTGTTCTGCAACTGATGATGCAACACTGAAATTTCTCCGCTGCGGGACGAGTAATGGATCTGTTCATTTTAATTTTAATAAATACCGTAGTAAGTACTGTGCATCAAGATGTTGCGCATACGGAAATGTGAATGTGGCAGGGCTGTAATTAACGATTATTCTAGTTGGCTGATTATTCTTTTGATTAATCGATTAGTTGTTTGGATCCAGAAAGGACAGTGATTATTGGATTTTTGAACATTTAACCAAAACAAATCCCAGAACAGCTTCATGGAGCTTGACCTGTTAGACATTGGGTTGTAATTCTCTGTATACATTTTTTCTGCAGTCATTATAGAATTATTTATAAAACTTCTGTACAGGTCAAACAGACTTCTCACGACAGACCGTTTCACCGTGTTTCTAAACTGCGTGAGGATGTGGGTTTGAGAACGTCACTTTACTACAGATGAAGAACAGACGCTTCATCACCTCTTCTCTGACAAAAGCTGATCTAAAGCTGTGCTAGTGGGAAAAGACATGAAGGTACTATTTTTTTCCTAATAGAATAGAAAGGAATGCAATTGATGTAAGAGACCTTAACAACAACCAAAATATTACTCAGTGAACAATGGGCCTCATTCACGAATAACTTCGTAAGAAACTACTCAACTTTCTTCTCAAGTTGTCCTTAAGTAGATTTCTAAGAAGTCCCCACGTGGGATTCATCAACGCACTCGTAAGCCGCTGAATTGTTCGCAGCTGTTCTCTCAGATTGATGAATCCCATTTCCTCGTAAGTAGAGCGCGCGTGCCCGGTGCTTCATTACCATAGGTACTTAGCATAAGTAACCGCCCACTAATGCCCATATAAGGGACTGCAGGGCCGTGTGCAGACGCCAGAGGAAACAGCAACAGGCCTAAAGCAGGCTTTTGCCAGACTGAGAATAAAGTTATAAAATGTTGACTTAAAAGTCGAAATATTATGATTATAAAGTCGAACTAGCAAAATTATGAGATTAATCTAAGAATATGATGAGATTAATCTCAAAATGTTATGAGCTTAATTTAAAAATATATTATGTATTATTTTAAAGATGAATCTCAAAATGTTTTGAGATTAATCTCAAAATATTTTGGACCCTGGGAGGAGATCCAGCGCGGACCAGCGCTGAGACCAATGCAGACCCGAGGAGAGACTGGAGTGACCAGCACACAGAAACCAGCGCGGACAGGAGAGACCGCATAGACTGGAGACACCTGACTGGAGAGACCGGTGCGCAGAGACCAGCGCGGACCGAAGAGAGACCGCATAGACCAGACTTGAGAGACCAGCGCGGACCCGTATGGATCCATGGGAGAGACCAGCGCAGACCCGTATAGATCCATAGGAGAGACCAGCGCGGACCCGTATAGATCCATGGGAGACACCAGCGCAGACCCGTATAGATCCAGAGACCAGCGCAGAGACTCAGCGCGGACCCAGTAACCTCCTGCAGCAGCAGTATATATGCCGTTGTTCTGTGGCCCGTGGATAAAGAAATGCCCCCTATAAATAGGAAGGGGTCACTAATACACGGCAAGATTTCCAATGTATTTGATAAAGCGTTGGCACATTTCATTTCAAAATGAATTAAAAAGTAGGCCAGATCTGCAGTGAAAAAGGCGGTATATAAATAAAGATTACTAATAAAGATTACTACAAATAAATAAATACATCATACATCGATATGACGGACATATCACTGGAATGTTGTATTTTTATTAAACTTCACCAAAGAGGACAACCCCGGCTGTGAACATGTCGGCACTGAATGCGTACGAGTGCTCCTGAGGACTCGTAGGATTTGTACTTGCCCAAGTGAAATTCTGGTTACGAGAAATATTCGTGAATGCCACTTTCTTCGTAAAAACCGCGTAAGTAGGATTTACGTACAAATCTGTTCCTAAGAACCGTTCGTGAATGAGGCCCACTGTCCTTAAATTTCTGTATTTGCTATTGATTTGTTTCATTGTAATTTACACATTCTTTAAGTATACCGGTAGTATTATAGTATTATGATGAGCGTTTAAATGCTTCTGGTGACAATTTTTGTGGTTTTTTTGCCTGTTGATTCTCTGCCGTATACATATAGATAGTATGTGTTTTTCCTTTTATATTTGTGCCGAAAATGTTGACCACAGTATACATTTTAAAACATTCTGAATTATTGTGTGACGACCCCACAGTCTTCCAGGTTGCAGCCAACGGGGGAGCTGATTTGGTCGGGCTGCATCTGAAGATAGCTGGGGCCACGTTCTAAAGGCTCTCAGAAAGTCAATGGAAGACCCCACCATGCAGCAGCTTTTTGTTCAGTTTTAAACATGTGCTGGCTCCATTTTTGGCCGATGCTCGAGGCAGTTTGTGACAGCTGCAAATCATGTTATAAGGGTGTACGTTCTGTAAGTAATCTTTATTTATGTAGCACATTTTTACATTCTCTCAACACACTGTGATGACGGAAGCGAGACGCCGAACACACTGGCGCTTCAAAGCCCCCGACCAACACCATCCATTCACTCACTCATTACATTCATACCTATAGTGCATGTTTTCAGACACAGGGAGAACATGCAAACTCCACTCAGAAAGGCCCTGTTCCGAACCCAGGACCTTCTTGCAGAGAATAGTGCTAACCCCTCAGCCACCGTGTCGCCCGTGTGCAGCTATTGTCAGAGAATGATGTCAGTATTTGAAGTAGACCACTGTCGAGCCAAAAACTGTGGTGCTTGCAACAACGTCAGGGAGAAAACACTCTTTATCTGTGGATCACATCAGATTCAGAAAACAATCCTGATTTTCTACTGTTTCACCTTTGATGAAGGCTCAGGGGTAATAAATCATCTTCCCCATTTGATCTTTGTTCCAAGGTTTAGCTAGAAATGTTCACTGTTAATGCTCTATCTCTGGAAAACTAAAGCCAACTGAATAAAAATATATGTGTTGGATAAATATATAAATATGTTTTAAAGTAAATTCTCATTTCTCTTATTTAATTATCTATCCATCCGCTTATAGTTATCCCACGTGCGTTTTTAATGGAAAAATAGATGGGTGATAATGGACAATAAACAGAAAATATTTAGTCAATCAACAAATATCTGTCTGTTATAGTGGCCACTCGAAAGTTATTCTCAAACATGTGAGAAACCAAAATATGACTTTATATCTGGGGAGAGGGAGGTCTACACCAGAACATGCATGTATCCAGACATTGTATGCAACATTTGGAGATTTTAATCAATAAACCAAAAGTAGCACATACAAAGCATCACTGATACATTCTATAGTAACGTATCGAATAACTCCATCATTAGAAAATTGGCCAGGACGATAAAAACTCATAATTCAAGACTGAAGTGGATGTTCTGTGACTAAAAGACTGGGGCGGTCAAGGAAAGAGGTCTCATGTTTTATTCAAACTCTTGTGCTCTTACGGAGTATTTTCAGAGGGTGACCTTATGCTCCAATATTAGAGTAAAACTATTTTTCTGGGGCAACGTTGAAACAGGTAATGATGCTTTTTTTTCTTTACCAAATAAGATAAAAGTTTTGTGTCACATCACTCTAAAAAACACATAGGTTGGGAAAACTACCTAAGTAATTAGTTATGTTTGTTCTTCTACACCAGACTAATGTAAGATAGCTATGTTTATTGCCTAGTAAGTAATCTTTATTTATTTAAATAGCACCTTTCACAGTCTAGAGTCACAAAGACACAGAGAGATAGGCGTGGTACATTTTTATAGTGGTAGAGGAAACCGGAGCACCTGGAGGGAACCTACGCAGAACATGCAAACTCTGCACAGAAAGGCCTGGAGGAACTTCTTGCTGTGAAACACAAGCACTAACCACTGCGCCACCCATGCTTGACATGTTCGAAACATGTCAAGGTAAGATCACTTAATCTACAAAGAGGACCTGATGAACCTTCCTAAACAAAAAATAAAATGTGCACTTCATTGTCTCATAGGGAAATTTGCCCTCTGCATTTGACCCATCCTGATGCCACTAAGGCTTACTACGTCAGGAGGAGCCCACCTCCAGATGTTGGTACTCTACTCGGCTTGGTCAGGAATACCGCAGCTGGAGGACATTACCTTTTGTGCATGTTTGACATGAGAAGAACATGCAAACTCCACTCAGAAAGGATTCGAAACCAGGATCTTCTTGCTGAGTGAAACCCACTCAGCCACCATGTTGCTAATATAGAGCACCTGACCAATATTGGATTGACCGATATATATTGGGTTGGAAAAATAGTACCTACATAATATTAACCTCCACAAGTTGCGTAGAGGATTGCGGTGTCACCTGCATGTTAAAGTTTTGTGATTTATGAAGTCAGTTTAGTAAAGTGGAGTAAAGTGTGTATAGGCCTATTCTGCTAAATATAAATGTAATAAATAAGTTGGGCTGCTGTAACTGTTTCCTCTGATGTCATCACTATCTCACGTGACGTCACTACAGGTTTATCCCAGACTTGAATCCAGTGACACAATGAATATGCGTTTAGAAAATACTTTTTAGCCTTAAACTATTACATCAGCTGCAGTATAATTTTATTTGCTCTAGACATAAATGGTAGAGAGTTACTCCTTTAGCTATTCCTAGGTGAGCATGGCCTTATGGGGTATTGATGGACCATATATTGTGCATTAATCACAGCACAAATAGATAATATAAATTTACGAAAGCGGTTAGAAACTGCTTCTTTAAATGTCTGAATCCAATGGGGAGCTACCTGGACAGATGTGACGAGCAACTGGTAGCTCCCAGACAATGGGTTGGAGACCATGATATTGATTTGATACATCTGAAAAATAGAATTGGTATTGATTACACGTTAAAACCAGCCGAACAGATTGTCCATTCCTCTTTAGTGGTATTTGACCTGTGTATGAGGCACTTTACAAGTTTGACCTGAGACATGGGCAGAGATCAGGGGAAGGTGAAAACAGAACATTGTAAGCACTTTATAGTCTCAAATACAACACAATAAAATGCTTGAATTGTGAAGTTTGTGTAAAGCCAATGAAGAAGGGACATAGTAACAACACACACACTTTTTCATAATAAGGCAAACAGAAATTTTAAATTCACACCAGATTATTTTGATCGAGATTCTTCTGTTGTTTTGCTTTTAACCAAGTCTATCAAATCTTATGATAAGCACATTTTGGGGGAAAAAAGTGAGGTGTCCCAGAGCAGGGGTCTGAACTGATAACCTATTGATTTTCACAGAGTTTCATCTTCACACACTAGTAATGATACATGAGAGCTGCCATAAGGAGCCCATATCCAGTCCATCACCAGACAAGAGCATCAGGATGAGATTTCTTACTCAACCATGTCTAATTACAAACCGTACAACCCACACACACACACTCACATATCTATAAATAAAACCATACCCATTATCAACGCGACTACTATCCATAAAAGTCTATACATGAACTTACTTGCAAGATACAGAACCAGGAGCAGAAGGCAGGAGCTGGTCGCCATCTCCTTCCGGTTTGTAAACTTTCTCAATTGCGCAAACACCAAGTTACAAGTCGATTCCATGTGTCCTGCGCTGGTGAAAGATTGTGCGTCGCGTCTCCTTCAGAAGTGGCCGCTCGCCTCTCCTCCGACGCCGCTCCCCCGCACCTTCTCCATCGTCTGCGCGCGTCCCATTGAGGTATAACTCCGGGAGAATATTATTTCCCACTGACTGGAACGGCCGCGGATGGAGTGTCATGAGTGCTCATTGTCAGCGTGCGTCCTGTGCCACGTCAATCTTAATGAGAAATCAAGACGCACTGAGATTTTGGAGAAGCTGGAGCCGAGGGAGAGGAGGGAGAGGAGGGGAAAAAGTTTGCGGTGCGTAAATGGCTCTGTCTTTGAAACGTAAAGGAGGGACATGGAGGAGGAGGAATAGGAGGAGGGGTCACTACTGTAGGTGAGATTTATTAAGATTTAAAATATATAGTTATGCATCAGTAGTGTACAAGAATAAAGAATACATTGGATTGATTGAAGTGATGTGGATGCGCAAATAACACCATGAGTCGCTTCTTTTTTCTTTTTTTTTATCTTTAGTAAGTAGTAAGTAAGTAAGTAATCTTTATTTATATACCGCCTTTCACAGACCAGAGTCACAAAGTGGTTTACAATTGTTATTTTTTGGGCATTTGTCCTCTCACTCCACACAGAGATGGGGGCAGGGTCGCCAGTACAGGAGGCAGATGCCAGACCTAGTGGTAGGGGAAACCGGAGTACCCGGAGGAAACCTACGCAGACACGGGGAGAACATGCAAACTCCACTCAGAAAGGCCCGGTCCGACCGGGATTCAAACCCAGGACTTTCTTTCAGAGAAGCGAGAGTGCTCAGCCACTGTGCCGCCTTCAAAAGGTCCTTTTAAAACATTTCATATACAAACATACCATACTTTTATTTATACTTCTGCCACCATATACTATTGTAATCTGGACACTTATCTATAATTTGTACTGTTGAATGTCTAATATGTGTGCTTATATAATTTGATTTTATTCAGATTTATTCATTCATCATGTCCTTATAGCTGTGTTTTACATTTCATAACCTGTTAACTACGTACAATGGCATACAAATAATTCTGATTCAGATTTATCCTGCATTTGCCTTATTCAGCTCTTTCTATTGTAGTTTTGTATTTACGTTAGCCTGGTCGTACCACACCATTGTACAAATGACATTTCGTACTAAGGTCTGGATTTGCTCCATTGAGCTCCACACTCTAAAAAAAAATGCATTGGCAAAACTTAATAAAATTGAGGCAGCATTTTGCATGCATCTTTTTAAGTTTTGCGAACAAGACTGTGTTTTAAGTATTCTTTGTAAGTCTTTTATCATTGGTCCAGCACAATTTTTTCAATACCACCAACTTGGATAATTGAGTTATAAAGACACTTTGTTAAGTATATTCAGCAAGTGTTTTAGCATCAGTTCAACTTAATTTTAACAATACCACCAACTTAAATAATTACATTGAAAATAAATCTTTTTGAGTATATTCAACAAGTGATTTTCAGTCAGGAATACGTAATCTTTATTCAAATACCATCTTTCAAAGATTAGATTCACAAAACGGTTCACAATTGTTAAATTTAGGCAGTAGTCTCTCACTCCACATATATATGAGAGTGGGCCAGCACAGTCACTGGTAAACATGTCCACCTTTAAGTATTTGTTCAAAATTGAAGGGTGACACAGGGAGTATAGGACTGCTTTGGTTTGGCCCTCTCGATCATGGTTGATAAAAATAAATACAATTACTTATTTGGTCAAATTAGTTTATTCAGAATGTTGCTCAAGTATTTTGCTTTAGGACTTGCTTCATTTTCAGTTTTAAAATTAATGCTCAAATGTAGAATTTTTAAGAAGTTTATATTTTTCGCTGCAATGCATTCTGGGTAGCGTCACTGCTTCGCCACATTTTGTTTTCAATCAACACAATATATTTATTTTGAATCAACTCAATATATTTATTTTGAATCAACTCAATATATTTGTTTTTTCATTAATGGGCCACCAGGCTTACAAGAGGATTTTCATGTTGAGCAAACTCAATACTTCTCCGTTGTCCAGTTATGCCAGAATATCAAGTTCAAATTTGTTACAAAAATGAGTTAGGATTCTTGTATTCACTTTTAATTGAGACCGGCATGTTTAAAATGAGTTGCGACCACACTAATTTAAGTAAAACTGGCAAAAATCAATTATTGAGTTTAGTTTAGTATGTATTTTGAGTTCAAAATACTAACCACCTGAATCATTTCTTTGAGGTGTGAGATTTCATAACACTTTTAAGCAACTTTTGTTAAAGTTAAACTCATCATTCTATCAATGTGCAGAAGCCAGTACTTTTCCCTTGTTTTGTCTATCTGAAGGCCAAGCTACATGGCACCGTGGCAGCTGCTGATTGGAGGTCTCCATGCCTCCGCTCTGTATAATACACTTGCATTCTGTTGTTCGTGTTGTTTGTGCTGTCTCTACCATCGACAATAAAACATGTCTTCTGTCTGAATGAAAGACGCGATCCCAGACTATGTCATCTTCTTCAGTGGGAGGGGTTAACTCCTTTTGCAGATTGAAACGATTGGATCTGAGTTTACCGTGACGTATGTAGTGTGCCCGAGTCTGTTGTTAGCATTTAGCATTTAGCCTAGCCATCTCCTTTGCCGCTAACGGAGCCTGTGTGGAGTAGCGCCAATATTTTTTCCAGCGATTACATTTGCTAAACATTACCCTTGCTCCGGCTTCAATTTCTTGATAGAACCAGACCGGATTACTTTACTATCGCATTCTTCGCCATTGCCAAACTACGACCTGCCATTTCGACGCAAACTCTTGACGTCACCCACAACAAACTACAACTCCTGCCTTCCGCGCTTTCTGAATGGTCGGTCGAAATTCAACCGATTGTAATCGCAATCCAGACCCAGACGTTACATGCAGTGAAATGATGATTGAACGGAGTGTACGGATGGCTAAGGCCAGGCTATATTTACGTCAGAGTGCAGGGAAAATGTTGCAAGAAGACTGAACATGTAATCATTAGATGCCTTTTAAGCATCGGAGATTTACTCAATTAGCTTTGTGCACTCTCCTTTCTTCCCTATGTTAGTTTGATGTTGTATCCAGGATTTGTGTTGAACTTTGCACACAAATACTCCACTTGAAACATGAGCGTCTTAATCAGATTGTCTTGTAATGTACACTGAGTAATGTTCATAATGAATCATCATCAATAATTTTTGTTATTTGTAGAGCCCTTTTCATACAAATTGTAGCAGAAAGTGTGTCAAAGATAGGGAAGAAATCACAAAACAGGCATTTCAAAACATAAGTAATAAATAATACCATTAATCATCTGAAATAATCACAGTACGTTAAAAAGAGATGGTCAAAGTAGATGCCTGTCTCACATATTCAGGAAAATAATACAAGTTTGAGTGAACGAGTGTCGACCAAACTTGTCCTTCGCCATGTTAGCCTTTGTTGTTTTTGATTGGATAAAAGTGTTCTGTTTGCACATTATAATATAGCTTTGTTTTTGTTTCTTCTACATTCAGCTTTTTGTGCTGGGATTACCTTGTTGGATGCTGAATATCGGTGATGGAAGTTCTACGGTACATGTGTCAAAGTCAAGGCCCGTGGGCCAAATCCGGCCCGCGAATGAATTATCTATGGCCCCCGGGACATTGCCTGCTATTGAGGCCCTTAAGCTCGCTAGCCCCCGCCGGCGGGAGCAAACGAGGAAAAAAATACATCTGCTGGCAATAGCAGATGTATTTTGAACTTCATAAGCCACAAGCTATATATCATTTTAAAGCTTATTATCTCAGCTATATTTATATGTAAGTGTAAACGATATCAGACTTTGCATTAAAAAGATATAACGCATAATATGGGCACAAAATAAATCAGTCTGTATTTGTTTTTTACCTTTCGTCTTCTGCTGCTCCAACAAATCAGACTTTCCCCATCCTTGCTTAGTCTCTTTCTCTCCGTTCTGTTCATTGAAGAAGAATATCCACTTGTATTTCCCAAAGTATAATCCATTCTTCAGATTTAATCAAAAAACGCCCCGAAAAGAGGTCCAGACTGCTCTTTTACATTTCACCAAGTTTGAGCTTTTTCTTTTTTTACTATTTTCATGTTCTCAGATGTCTATTACATCTAATATGTACAGTATGAGGATTGGCTTTAGAGCATATTTTATCGAGCCAACAGGTGTCACCGGCACTGCCTCTGGATGTTGAGAAACATTGAACCAGTCCGGCCCTCGGCGCGTAGTAAACATTTTTTTTTGGCCCTCTGATGTATTTGACTTTGACATGCCTGTTCTACGGCTATAATCACATTCACATTCACATTTGAAGGGTGTTGTTTTCGTAGAGACTTTCATTTCCATTATTCTTTTACTGACGCTTATACAGCTTACACACACGCAAATGAGAAATGTGAAATATTCTCACCTCTCACTGCTTTGTCCTCTCTTTTCAGCCCTCTAATAGCTCAGTCATGCATATGCACACGTTCCTGATTTTGTGGCATACACACGACCACATTTTTCCATCACAGAGGCGGAGGAGAGAGGAGATACGGGGCACACACACTCACACACACCGGCTGGCGGAGAGAGACATCAAGGCCGAGTGTGAGAGAGACGTACACCACAGGACAAGAACAGGATGCACTTCTTTTAGACTTTTCTACTCTGTCCGTCATGAATATTGCAGGACGCATTCAGTGGATACTGGGTAGTAGCATAGATAGATCCCTGCTGGTCTCAGGACTGGAGCTGCTCTTATAGCCTGATTTATTTATTACAGTGCACAATGGGATAGTCCGGCAGTATGCTTCTATAATGAACATAAGTATTCAAATGGCTGGTGGGTGGCAAATGATGAAACCCAAATCTGCGGATGGCCTGAACCCTCTAACAAATGAAATCTCTTTATTTGAATAGCCTTAA